TGCTCTCCCGCTCCCCTCCACTGTTCCTCCCTTCTCCTGGGAAGATAATTTCCACCAGGATCTTACAAAACTAAGAAGCTCCAAGGCAGGAAAACAACATTAAATCCTGTCATAAGGGTGAGGCCTCCAGGATGGAGTGCTTGGCCCAGGCTCTTCTTCCTGGGCGGTTTCCTGACTTACCAAGCATTTCATGCTCTCACAGAAAATGTACAAGTGACAGGAAAGTGTAAAGACACAGAAAAACAGCCCAGCACTCCTGACTCCACCTGCCGCTGGTGACCACGGCTGCCGTCTGGCGTCAGCCTCCAGTCCTTCCATGCCTTGCTCAGAGGGTCGAGGGCCCAGTGTTTTCGGTGGTTCCCACTAAACAATCCACAGTGGGACGTGTTCTCGAGACACCTGATTTTTATTTTATTTATTTACATATTTTTTTGAGACAGAGTCTCATTCTGTCGCCCAGGCTGGAGTACAGTGGTGCCATCTCAGCTCACTGCAACCTCTGCCTCCCAGATTCAACTGATTCTCCTGTCTCAGCCTCCTGAGTAGCTGGGAATACAGGTGCACACCACCACACCTGGCTAATTTTTGTACATATACGTTTAATAGAGACGGAGTTTCACTATATTGGTGAGGATGGTCTTGAACTCCTGACCTCAGGTGATCCACCTACCTTGGCCTCCCAAAGTGCTGGGATTACAGGCATGAGCCACCACGCCCAGCAGACACCTGCTTTTTAATGGCTGCACAGCGCTCTGCTGTAGGGGAATAGAATCACGCACTTGCCGCCTTCCTGTTGTTGGGAGTTTCATTCATTTCTGTTTCTTTCCATCTTCCTCCTTTCCCTCTTCTGCCCGTGTATGAGCAATCATTTCTGCTAACATGCCAGATTGTTCCTTCCGGATGCTTTCCTGCAGTGGGGGCTTGATGGCAGTGGTCTCCCCCAGCCCCACCAAGCCTTCTAAGTGACCATGTGTGTGCAGCTCTAGGGAGTGGTGGAGGCGTCAAGTGGCTTCACAAGGAGACTTGGTGTAGCCACTCACAGCGGCCCCTGTCACCTCTCAATGACTCCACTGGGAGATGATTCTACTTGCAGGGGAGCAGGGAGCATCTCTTCTGAGACATGAGTGCCGGGAAGCTTCGCCGGCCTGCATTACACAAAGGCAGGCCGTTCACTCATCCACAAGGATGTATTTGGTACCCAGCACGTCCAAGAGAATGTGCTGGACACCGCACATAAGGCTTGATTCCTTCACTTTGTTGAGCAGAGAGAAGATGTGGACAAAATGAGATCTGATCAGCACAACCTCCCTGGCTCCCCAGGAGAAGTAGCGAGCTTATTTTTTGAGACAAGTGAATTGTATCAATTACATCATCCTGAAGTTCTGTCCGTGACCAGGGCATTTCCACAGACATACACTGACAGCTTGTTACATTTAAATGGGGAGGAAAGTGAGAAAAGAGGGGAAAGAATGATGGTTAACTGAGCTCATTTGATTTTACTTAAACTTATTTTGTTACCAAGCTTATTTATTTTAGACTTATTGAATGTAACCTTATTTAATCCTCACCGCCCTCCTCAGAGATGGGTCTTCCTGCCCCTATTTTTCAGATGAGAAAACAGTTAAGCCATTTTCTTTAATTAGGTAGCAGAGGCATCATTGTTGCAGACCAGCACTTCTTCTTCTTTTTTTTTTTTTTTAAGACAGGATTTCACCATGTCGATCAGGCTGGTCTTGAACTCCCGACCTCAGGTGATCTGCCCGCCTTGGCCTCCAAAGTGCTCGGATTACAGGCGTGAGCCACCGCGCCCGGCCCCAGACCAGCACTTCTGCTGGAGCTGAGATGAAAGTCTCAGCAGGTGCCTTGAGGATGTGTGCCTCTCCCTGGCTGACAGATATCGGGAGGCTTAGCAGAGCTTCGTGTTAGAGGAGTACTGATACAGAATGAACCAGCAGAGGGGCCATTCAGGCCATGTCAGCAACAGACAAAGTCGGGACGTGTGAGGTAAGTGCACGGGTGAGGAGTAATGGAGATGTGGCTAAATGGGGTGTGTGTGTGCATGCATGTGTGTGCATGTGCGTGCACACACATGTGTGTGCATGTGCGTGTCCCTGTGTGCATGTGTGTGTGTGCCTGTGTGTGCATGTGTGTGTGCCTGTGTGCCTGTGTGTGCATGTGTGTGTACCTGTGTCTGTGTGCCTGTGTGTGTGTGTGTATCTGTGTGTGTACCTGTGTCTGTATGCGTGTGTGTGTGTGTGTGTGTGTGTGTGTGTCTGTGTGTGTGTGAGTGACAGCAACAGCAAAGGCGCCAGCATGAGTGGCTGAGACCCAAATTAGGTAGGCTTGGAGGGGCCACTAAGGGATTTCATAGGCAACGGGGAACCATGATCACTAGGCAGGGGAGGGCCTTTGGGAGCCAACCCTGAACTCTACCGTTGCAGTGCATGTCTTCACAAGAATGAGCAGGATAGCGTAGTTAGGAGAACTGCCTTACTTTTTAAAGCAGTGGTGAAAATCTTTACTATTTTCATATACTTTTTCTTTTTGGAAGATAAATGGATTAGGTCCAGGATTTCACCCTAGAGAGGATTTAAATCTTTCATCAGGAATAAGATTTGAGTGTAAGAAGATTAAATGATATTATACTGGTAAGAACACAGAGTTTAAAACCACCCCCTACAACCCACGGAAGGGGAGCAGCCAGGCTGGCAAGATCTGAGGCCAGAAGTGCTGGGGCTTTGGGGAGGGCAGCAAACAGAACGGAGCTGGACCTATCAAGGTGCCCCACCAGGGCCCAGCCATCTCACCGCACACATTGTGCCATACATGCCAGTGCCCAGCACAGCCTTGCAGGTGACCAGTGGCCTGCCTTTCATAACACAGGCTGGTGTGCTATCACCGTGCTCATGTCTCAGAGAGATGCTCTCTGTTCCCCTGCAAGGGGAGTCCTCTCCACTTGGAGTCGTTAAGAGGTGACAGGGGCTGCTGTGACTGGCTGGCCCAAAGTCTCCCTGTGAAGCCGCGTGATGCCTCTACTGCTCCCCAGAGCTGCACACAGCCACTCCGCAGCCTCGGGGGGGCTGGGGAAGCCCACTGCTATCAAGCCCCCACTGCCACAATGATTCTTTCTGAGCTATTCCCCTGTGACCCTGCCTGACTTGCAGAAGCTGCAGAGTGGCCCACTCTTCCTTGGCATGTCAGGAAAACTTTGGCATGGCTGCTCCGTCTCAGGCAAGGTCTAATTTGGTGAAAATTTGAAAGCAGGTTGGTGGGCGTGCCACGGAGAAATGGGGAGAGAGAAAGACGCTGCATTTGATGGATGGCAATGGTTTGGAGCTGGTGTGGCGGCCTCTCTGGATGACAAGGACATTGTAGTTAGAGCCAGAGGATGGAGGTATGAATCCTGGCATGCCTGGTTTGTAGTTATGGGGCCTTGGCACAGACACTTGAATGAAACTTCCTTTGCCCAGGTATAAGACGGGCCCCTAATAAAGGCTGACTTTGCCCTGATCCTTCACTGCCTGCTGGGATGGTCTCAGCATTTTGTGCACCTTGGCCAATTTAACCCTAACAGCAACCACAGAGGCCGAGGCTATTTCTGGCTATTACTATTCCCATGTCACAGATGAGAATGTGAGGCCCAAGGGGGTAAAGTCACGTGCCCAAGGCACACAGCCGGGGGTGCTTCAGCAGGCCATGTTGTGCATCTGTGGCTTTTCCCCTGGCCACTTTGCAGCATTGGCACAAGAACGGCCCACGGGGTGAGCCCCCACCCGATCAGCGACGCTTTATCCCTCAGAGAGGGCTGGCAGAGCCTGCAGGGGAGGGTGGTGGGCATGGGGAGCGGTGGGCAATGGTCTGCCCTTCATGTCTGTCAGGTTGTGGCTGCCACTGGAGAGACAATGCCAAAAAGCTTCCTGGAAGAAGCAGCTTCCAGAAGGTTTCACCATATCCTTGTCCTGCCAACTGGCCATGAATGGATTGGAAGATTCCCACTGGGTGAGAGGACTCAGAAGCCACCAGAGGGGATGGTGGAGTGGGGAGAGACATGCATCTCTCACCGTGGGGATCCAGGAGTCAGGCGAAGTTAGCTGGGGCCCCACTCCGGGTGGGTCCTCCCAAGACGCCCCCTTCTTTCTCTCTCCCTCTGTTGCTTTTCTCTCCTCTCTCTACTTTTTCTTCTTCCCTTCTCTCTTTCCCCCATTCCTCTCTCAACCTTGTTTCCACTTCTTGCTGCCCTTCTTGCCTCAACAATTGTTGATGCAGTCCCAGTTCCTGGGCTGAGGCTGGGGGATGGGAGTGAAGTCCTGAGGGCAGGCATTGCTGTGTCTCTCCAGCTCCCGCCCCAGCCAGGTCACTCCCTCTGCCCCGCCTGCACAGCTTCTCACCGCTTCATTCCTGCCCCCACCGCCCCTACCGCCCCTATACACCACCAGGTTGCTCCAGTTTGGTACCAGTGCCTGGAGGGAGAGGCGCGGCGAGGGCTGTGCAGCCGAGGATCCACCGATTGGCTCTCGCTGGTGTCTCAACTGCGCACGAAGCAGCGCTGGGAGGCTCGGCTGGAGGTGTGACCAGGGCAAGGACCGAGCTGACCCAGAGCAGAAGCGCACAGAGTCCCATCTTGCCACGCTACAAGGAGGGAAGAAGGAAAGACACAGTGGCAGCAAAGAGCCCTCCCTCACCCCTGCGCCCCGCGCCCGCGCGCCTCGCTTCAGTCTCAGGACGGTGCCACCAGGGCAGTGAGTGGGTTCAGCACCCTGGACAGCACCAAGGTTGCGCTGCCTTTTGGGGGGCCCCGGGGCTGCTCCAGCTCCGAAGGGCAGCGCCCTCCGCCCGGGCGCCCCGGACCCCGCACTTGCCTCCGCTTTCCTCTCTGGACATCCCGGAAGCCGTGGCGCGCCGCTCCGCCTCTGGGCGCCGCTCCGCCGCTGCGCTTTCCCAGGCCCGCGCCCGAAGCAGAGCCATGAGCACCGCGGGGTGCCAGGAGAGCCGCTAGCGCCATGGGCACCGGCGAGGCGCTACTGGTGGGGCTGCTGGTGCTGGTGCTGGCCGTGGCGCTGCTATCTAACGCGCTGGTGCTGCTCTGTTGCGCCTGCAGAGCCGAGCTCCGCGCGCGCGCCTCAGGCGTCCTCCTGGTGAACCTGTCTCTGGGACACCTGCTACTGGCGGCGCTGGACATGCCCTTCACGCTGTTCGGAGTGCTGCAGGGGCGGCCACCGTCGGCGCCTGGCACCTGCCAAGCCATCGGCTTCCTGGACACCTTCCTGGCGTCCAACGCGGCGCTGAGCGTGGCGGCGCTGAGCGCGGACCAGTGGCTGGCTGTGGGCTTCCCGCTACGCTGCGCCGGCCTCCTCCGACCGCGCAATGCGGGCTTGCTGCTGGCCTGTGCCTGGGGACAGTCGCTGGCCTTCGCGGTCGCTGCCCTCGGCTGCTCCTGGCTTGGCTACAGCAGCGCCTTCGCATCCTGCTCGCTGCGCCTGCCGCCCGAGTCCGAGCACCTGCGCTTCGCTGCCTTCACCGCCGCGTTCCATGCCGTGGGCTTTGCGCTGCCTCTGGCGGTGCTCTGCCTCACCTCGCTTGGGGTGCTCCGGGAAGCGCGCAGCCACTGCCGGCGCATGGACACCGCCACTAGGAAGGCGCTCGTGCTGCTCACCGACCTGCATCCCAGGTAGTTGACCAGTGCGTGCCGACCGGCCCAGGCCAGGGACTCGGGCGCTCCCTGGGCAGCCTGTGGACATTATCACCGTTACCCGGGCCGGAGCTCACCGCCATGGGGCTGCCCCTGCATGCTGCTCGCGGCGGTTTCCCGTTGGTTCATTGGTGCAGACACCGCGGGGGCTCTGTTTCCTGGAATATGTGCTCACAGTGCACAGGGAGCTTTGTGCAGAGCAGTGGGGTGCACGCCTCCGTGAGGGGTTCCCCGGGCCCTGCTGTGGGGACCTGGTCCCACCCCTCCTGTGCGTGGCCATGGGACTGAGGCATCTGCTCGTTTCTGCCCACTGCTGACCCAGTGCTCTTGCATGGCCTTGGGCTGTAAGTCTTGGGCAGGGCCCAGTCCCCCGTGCTTTCTGCTCATGTCTTGGCAGGATTTTTCCCCTGACTGTCTAGTTTGTGTCACGATGGTTCCAAGTTACCTCTGTAGGGTGTTCACCCTTTGCCCCCCTGCCCCCCAGAACCCCCAGAAGGCTCTCCGGCTGGTGGGGAGGGACCGGCGGAGGTGGCTTCTCCCTCCCTGAGGGCCCTAGCTTTGCCCCTCCATCAGCAGACCTGCCTCAGTTCCCTCTGTGTGGAGAAGGATGAGCTGGAGGGAAAGGAGGAGGAGCTGGCCCTTTTTTCCAGGCCTCCTTTACTTCATCTACAAAAAAGCAAGCCCACCGCTTTCCATTGTTCCTTCCCTCTCTGCCATGCCTCTGTCCTCCTCAGGTTCCAGGCTAAATGTCCTCCTGAAACCCTCCCGGCTGCCCTCACTCCAGCCCCTGGGCTCTGGGCCTGGGCTCTGTCCCTGCCCTTCCATCATCCTGACCACTGTCCTTTGTCCCCACAGCGTGCGCCAGCGCTGTCTCATCCAGCAGAAGCGGCGCCATCACCGTGCCACCAGGAAGATTGGTGTCTCTATCGCCACCTTCCTCATCTGCTTTGCCCCCTACGTGGTGACCAGGTGGGTCCTCGCAGTCGGGCTCCTGTCATGGGAACAGCTGTGTGGGCTTGGCCTCAGTTGGGCAGGCCTCTGAGTTCTCCCAGCCGGGTATCTAGAGGGCGGCCACCATCACAGGACCCTCCTCTACACCTGACGGACTGTGGGCCCTGCCGTAGCTCCTGGGAAAGACCCTGGAAGGGAGGTGGCACTGGCCCCCATCCTGTTCTCTAAATGAGGAGACTCTCCTGGGCACAAGCAGAGATGGGATCAGTGAATCAGCACCTAGTTCTTTAAACCCAGGAAGCTTTCGGTGTTAGGGGACCTGGGACCAACCCAGACCTTAAACTCCATGTCTCCTGGGCGTGGAGTTGGGAATCTGGGTGGAAGGTCTGGCTGAGCCTCGGGGCAGTGACGCCACCAGGTGAGTGCTGTCTTTGCTCCTCTTTCCTGGAGTCCTTGGCCTGAGTGCTTGTCGGGTCAGAATTACCTGGAGCCACAGGTAATTGGGAAAGATTGCGTGTAAAGAGCTGCTGGTACCATTGTCACAGTGCAGTGCTGAGGGGCAGGGGAGTCTGCAGTTTTTGCCTCTGGGGTTCCTGGGTCACCTAACCGGCCACTTGGCTAGTACCTTAGCTCCACTCAAGGAAATGTGTGCACCCTGCCTTGTTGGATGGCACCATGGTTAGGCGGAGGCATGCTGTTTATTGGAGATGCTGACTGCTTGCTGTCATGTCTCGCCTTTCTTGGAAGCCCGTGGAATTTTTGGCCAGGCCCCTGCAGTGCCCAGGCTCTTTGGGAGGGCTCCAACTTGTGTGTTGTGCCACCCAGGAGGACCCTCTGAAGGAAGAAGCTCCTAGGAGGGTCTATGGCCCTCATCCTCAAGGGGCCCAGGTCCCTGCCCCAGGGGAGGGGGCTGGCAGGAGGAGGGTACCAGGGATCCTGGCTCTGTTTGTGTAGGGTCCTCCTGGGGTTGCTATCTAGTGCAACCTTGCAGGGTCTGCAGGCCTCTCCAGATGTCTGTGTATGTTACCAGGTCACTGAGTTTCTTAGATGTTGGGTGGGGGCAACGACTGTGTCCCAGGAACCCGGGAGGCCCCCGAATACCCATGCAGAGTGGGGCGGGCTCTCTCCTGCCTGCCAGGCTCCCTCTGAACTCTTCAGAATCCGCACTTGGGACACGAGCTCTTGGCCACTGATCCCATCTGGCTTAGGGACAGGGAGCCAGGTTTCTTGTGGATAACAGGCTCCCTCCTTTCTCACATGTGTATGTTGTGAGGGCACATGTGTTTACACATGTGAACACACATGTATGTACATGTGTGTAGAAGGTGAGTGCTGGAATTTCAAGAGCTCCAGTATTTAGTTTTGAAATTTTAAATGAATGAGGAGTGAGACTGGCTCGCTCAGCCATGCTGTCATGTTGATTCAAGTTTGTAACTGTTATTTTCATGTGTGTGGACAAGAGCCCGAGCGTGTGTTTGAGCACTCATAGCTATGAGCACACACATGAGTGTTAGAGGAAGCATCCCAAACAAAGCCATGAAGCCTGCCTCTCAGCATTGTTTCCACAGCTCCAACTCGGATCTGGGCAGCTCAGGCTCTCTTCTCTGTGAAAAATGTGGATACGATATAGCATGAATGAGGTTATCTATTCCTTCATGCACTCACTGAGCATTTCACGAGCTCCTACTCTGTGCTAGACTTTGTGCCTGGTCCTGCGGTTACAAAAGCAAATGGAACACAGGCTCCTCTTGGTTCTGATGGCAGGAGATGCAGGTCAGCAAGACTAGGCAGGTGTTTCAGCAAAGCAGGGGCTTGAGGGATGGAGCTGGGAGCAGCACGGCTGGATCAGAGTTCAGACAGACTCTCCTGACCGGCGCCTCTTGTGTCATGGGAGGGCACCGACACAGAACCTCGCTCCCGAGTGCGTGCACGAGGTTCTGATGTGGTTGGTGGCTTAACCCACAGAAGTCAGAGACCCAGGAGCACGCGGTCCCTGCTGCCCCTTAGAAGGTAGTGCGTTCATTCCAGTCATTCTTCAATTGCTAAAAATATTTCTGAGCGCTTCTCCTGGGACTTGTTTTCAGAACTGGGATGCATTGTTAGACTCTTCTGTGGACATCTTGAAGGTGAATTTAATCTGGTTAGAAATAGCTCAAAGTCACCTTGAGCCAGCTCACGTGGATAAAGTAGGTAAGACAGCTGGGGACATAGGAGTTTTCTTTTATTTCTTGCTTGTCACCCTTTAGTTTCATGGACTTAATCAAGGGTGCGGATTAAGCCCCAGAGGTATGCAGCACTGAGACCGGGGGGCGGGGATACAGAGCCTCCCTTGTAGAGTCTGTGGCCTACGAGGGGAGGGTAGATGGACACGGTCACCAGGGGCTGAGCATCAGTGGACACATGAGTGAGCCCCCTTCTCCACAGGGTCGTGGCTGGTTGGAATCTTGGTGGTTGACACATGACTTCTGGTCCCAGTGTGGCTCTAGACAGAGCCTCAGCTCGGTGTTTCTGATGACTTCCACCTGTACTGTGGTTTAACCAGGGGACGTGTGCACACTGGCATGCCTGTGGCTTTCTTACTCAACTGCAGCTCAGTCCCCTAGCGGCTGAAAGAAATGCCATGCTTCTCAGACCTGTTGATATGACCCTCCTTCCCACTGGCCTGATGGCTGGTTGTGACTAGCCTCCAGTCCATGCTTGATGGTGGGCTCCCTGGAGGTGGGGGTGACAGTGTACCTGATGTGAATGTGCTGGCCAGTGGCAAAGCCCTTTCCGGACTATCACTTACTGTAATTGGACCCTCACTGCAGCCTGGGGTGGGCGGTTAGTGCCACGATGGCCTTGGACCTGTGTCCCTGCCCTGGTTTTTGGCTTCTGGATGCCTCTCCTCTGGCCCTGCCCCTCACCTTCTCCCTGTCCTCACACTCTGGCCCTGCCTCTCAGCTTGGCTGCCTGCCTCCCCACTCCCATCCTGCTGGTCTGCCCTCCTTGGAGGAGAGGGAGTCAGTCAGTCTGATCTGTTGCTGCTATGTTTGTGGGTGGTCAGCAGGTGGTCTCCACACTAACAAGTGACCCAGCCAACCTCGTAAGTCACAGGGCTGCAGTCCTTCTGAGTAGGGGTGGGACATCCTGGGACAGAAATTCACTGCCTGGGGGGTCATCAGACTGATAGGGAAGGCCCTGGCCTTTGGGCCAGTAACTGGGAGGTGAAACAGCTGCCGCTGGTCAGCAAGCACGCTCGTGACAGCTGTTAGAAGCTTTGTCCTGACTCCACGGCCTCCACCACAGGCTGTGCGAAAGCAGAGGGGTCTGTCAGAGTCCCCAGAGGCCACCCCCTGCTGCTTTCCCGTACCGGGAGTCCAGTCAGTCCCTTCCACTCCGAGTTCTAACCTGGTTTCAGATTAGAAATCAGAGATGCCCTCAAGCCTCTCTGAGTGATGCTTGGAGATGGTGGGTGGGGAAGTACCCTGTGTGGTGTGCAGTGCCCCTGGGCACCCCGTGAGCGACTGCTGTTCATGTGGATGAGGTGCTCACGCTTGCTCAGGGTCTGTTCTGCAGCCCAGGTTGACACCTGTTCCTCCAAGGTGGTTATTAGCCTTGTTCCGATTTGTTCTCAGCATTGCCCGGGTTTGGAAGGTAAATGCCAGGGGGAGTCTGGTTGGGGGCTCCCAGAGCTCACATCTGGAGGGTTTTGGTCTGCAACATGGAAGCGGCAGTGGCCCCCTCGGTAGCTGGTTCTGTGAGCAGGTGTCTGCAGCAGGTGTGCGGGCAGGTGGGTGGACTGAGCAGAGTGTCTCAGGAGGGTGTCTTGTCACCCCATTTTAGGAAGAGGATCCCGAGACTCAGGGTGCTGGTGCAGAGCCCCCTCGCTAGTGAGCGTCAGGGCTGTGGTGTGTACTCAAGTGTGGTTCTAGCACCTTCCGCCCTCACAGCGTGAGTGCTTGGCGGGTGCTGTCACCAAGGCTGAGTCAGCTGCTCCGCTTCTCCAACAGGCTGGTGGAGCTCGTGCCTTCCGTCACCGTGAACCCCCACTGGGGCATCCTCAGCAAGTGCCTGACCTACAGCAAGGCAGCGGCCGACCCGTTCATGTGCTTCCTGCTCTGCCGGCCGTTCCGCCAAGTCCTGGCTGCCATGGCGCACCAGCTGCTGAAGAGATCCCCGCCCCCAGCGTCTGCCCACCACAGCTCTCTGGACGCAGAGAATGATTCCTGCTTGCAGCAGTCACTCTGAGGGCCTGGCAGTGCATCGGCGCTCCCCGCCCCCACCCCCATCTAAAGAGCCCTGTGGAAGGGACACTGTCCCTGCCACAGAAACACTGCTGGGGACCCCCAGACACTGGCAGCTTGACTTTGGGCTGAGGCTGAAGCGCAGGAAGGGGGAAGGAGGGGACGGATGTGGGTGTGGGCAGCAGGAGCGGCGGAAGAGAGCTCCAGGCTTGGCCCCCTGGCCGCCGGGTGGCCCCGGGACAGCGGCTTTTCCTCTCTGAGCCTCAGCTTCCCCACCCTTATTCTGGGGTTGTGATGATGCTGTGAGACAGTGGGTAGAGAAGTGCCCTGCATGGCGCGTGGTGCCCATGGGCGCCCGGTGATGACTGCTGTTCATGTGGGTGAGGTGCTCATGCTTGCTCAGGGTCTGTTCTACAGCCCAGGTTGACACCTGTTACTCCAACCTGGTTAGTAGCCTTGTTCCGACGTGTTCCCAGCATTATGCAGGTTTGGGTGATAAATGCCAGGGGAGTCTGGTTGGGGCTCCCAGCACTGAGAGCCGACAGTCTGTGGACAGGGCCCAGCAGGCGCAGGCGGCCCCTGGGACGTGCCCATCTCTGGAAGGCTGGAGGTCCCCAGTTCCATGCCTGTCCGCTGTGACTGCCTGAGCAGGCACACAGATGGAGCCTGCCTCCCTTCTGCCTTTCTGTGGTTTGCCAGGGGTTTGGCATCTTGACTGGGGAGGATGTGAAGAGTCTGTGTGCTCAGAGCCTTTTCTGGTGAAGATATCATCGGAGCACATGACCTCTGCTTCCTTCCCCCAAAGGCCACCGCTGGGCTTCTGGATCCTAGACATGAGACCGTCAAGAGATGGAAGTCATAGCCAGGTCCCAGGTGTCTGGAGAGCGTGGCAGGATGGGGAGGGCCTAGCTCCTCAATGGCAGCGCTGGGGGAGCCAAGAGAAGCTGGAGTGCCCCTCAGTAGCAGTGTGCATCTCCCCCAGGTTTGTAATCACGGGGCGCCATTGCCAGGTGGGGGCACCGGCCATCAGTGTCATCGAATGTCCCCATGGGACAATATTGAGAACCTGTGTACACATCTGTCCTATTTCACAGTGCAGGGAAAGAATGGTGTGCAGTGCATGCGGGCCTCAGTGGAGAGGGGTGTGCGTGAATGAGTAGCGATGAAAGAATGGACACGGTTCTCTCTCCAGCTCTTGGCATTGCTGTTTTCCTCAAGGCCCAGGGCCCTCCCCTGCAGAAGCAGGAGGGCTGCAAGACCCCCACTCATGGGACTCTCTGATGGGCCCCGCCCACGGGCTCTTGCCAGTGTGGAGCCAGTATCAGGACATCCTACACCAAAGGTCGGCAGTGCAGGGAGAGCGTGGACATCAAGTTGTTTCCTTCCAGGGGCGGAGTTCTGCAGAGACGCTTCACACACAGCTGCCACTGGCTCTTGGTATTCACAGTGGACAACCCAGCTGAGGCTGCTTCACAGAGTCTTCTTCAAAAAATCCAGGTGTTATTTTTTTAAAAGCTTTTTGAGACAGGATCTGTCTCTGTTGCCCAGGCTAGAGTGCCGTGGTGCAATCTCAGCTCCCTGCAACCTCCACCTCCCATGCTCAAGCCGTCCTCCCACCTCAGCCTCCTGAATAGCTGGGACCATATGCGTGTGCCACCACACCTGGCTAAGTTTTGTATTTGTAGAGATGAGGTCTCACTTTGTTGCCCAGGCTGGTCTTGAGTTCCTGAGCATAAGTGATCCACCCACCTCAGCCCCCCAGAGTGCTGGGATTCCAGGCGTGAGCCATGGCGTCTGGCCAAAACCAGGTGCTATTTGCTGACTCACCAATGCCTCCCCGAAAAGGATGCATTTAATTAAGACAGTTTGTCAATCATGAGGCGTAATTCAAACAAAACAAATTACTGTTTGGAATAACAGCAACTATAGGTATGTGGTCAGGAAGCAGTTAAAAACATGAGAACACACAAGCATATCTGGCCAGTTCCATCCCACCCAGCACTCCAGCCCAGGGTTCCAGGCAGGAGGTGGGGACGTGGGCATCACGGCATGGTTCATGGAGGGCACGTGAACTTGAGACCCTGCTGCACCCTAGTGCCCCTGTGCTTGCAAAGGAGGACACCTGCGCAGCAGAAGCAGCTTGGTCCCCGTTGTTTGAAGCTCCAGAGTCCAGGCCGTGAGCTCCTCGGCTGAGCCCTCTCCTGTCCCAGGGAGCTCCCCAGGTGGGAGGAGCCTGCCAGCCAGCAGGGCTACGCTCCCTGTTACTGGGTCTCTGCCAGGCTAAAGCCCGTGGTCACAACTTTAGTTCTACTCAAGGAAGTGCGTGCGCCCTGCCCCGCTGGAAGGCACCACGGTTAGAGGGAGGAGCACTGTTTATCCAAGACGGTGACTGCTGGCTCTCATGTTCCCCTTCCTCAGAAGCTCCATGGAATTTTCTAGAGCAGGCATCTTAAGCCATTCCCATTGCACTTCTCTACCAACCCATGTGGCTCCCACGCTGTCGCTGTCTTTTGCCTTAGACTTGCGGCCTTTTCTTTTTCTTTCTAAATTTGAAAAATACTTTTCACGTGCACTTAAACATGCTGCAAAATGATGTTGGGTCTCAAGAACGTCTTGAATCGATCAACATTTTATTCCAAGGGTGTCTCATTTCCATGGACAGGGAAAGTGCTGCCTTGCATTCGCCACAGTTCAATTACCAGGAAAGCAGAGCTTTCTAGAAGTCTGGGCTTGCATGCAGTGCCCTGCTGGGCTTCCAAGACCTCCAAGCTGGGCCCTGCGCCCTGTGTGTGGGGAGTGAGGGAGGCTTCTCCCATTGTTTTGATGGTGGAGCCGCAAGCTTGGGAGGCTTTCCCCTCGTGGGCGGGAAGCAGAGAGCCGGGGGGCTGTGAGGCTGGCAGGGAGCTTGCAGGACATAACTGCTCATTTATTTTTGGGGGGACCAAGGGATTTTTATGGATTCCATCTGTCACAAGGCTGCAGCAGTCCATGATGGGTGGGGCAGAGGGAGGCCCTGTGGGAGCTCAGAGTGACAGGCCTCTTGGCTTGCCTTCTTGTCCTTTCGGGACCATGATCTGGTTCTCTCGAGCCCCCCTCCTGCTCACATGGGCTGCAAACCCAGGCCAGCTAGGGTTCTGAGCCAGGAGCCCTCTCTCCATCCCCTCTGTGCTCGCTGACTCTGGCCCTCCTCCTGCCTCACGTGGGCACCCATCCATGGCCAAGCCTCTGGAGCCCTTCCCTGCACCCACCCTCCATCAAGCAGAGCAGGCTCCTGGAAACGCAACCGAGAGCAAGTTGTGCTCCCACCAGAAGCCCTGAGGAGTCACGGGGCTGTGGTCTCTGCTCCTGAGCCTGGCATTGCTGGCCCTTTCTGTCCTCTGTCCTCACTGCTCCCCACTCCTATCCACACGGCCTCAGGCTAAAGTGCTGGGTGCCCTGGTCTTCCGGCCCCTCCCGGGGGCTGCATCCTTTCTGGACCTTCTCTTAATACTTCCTCCCCCTCTGCTTAGCCAAGTCCCTCCACCTGACCGAGGCAGACACAACCCTCCCTCTTCAGCCCTCACAGCCCCAGCGCCCCTCCCGAGGGTCCAGCCATATGGCGGGTAGGAGTGGGGTCAGACCCACTTTTATCCCCACACCTGCTGTGCAGCAAGCGCTGGCCATGCCTGCATGGACACATCACGTCTCGCTGGGGCACAGGCTTCCATCCACCGGTGGGCTCCTCCGGTCTGCCACGCTGCCCCACCCCATCCCCATGAGCCCCGAGGTGGGCACTATGTAATTTCTCAGTGGAGAGCCCCAGGCTCGAGGGGGCCAGGCCACTGGCTCAAGACCCTTTGAGCAGTGAGTCTGTGCTCTTTTTTTTTTTTTTTTTTTTTGGAGAGGGGGTTTTGCTCCTGTTACCCAGGCTGGAGTGCAATGGCGTGATCTCGGCTCACTGCAACCTCCGCCTCCTGGGTTCAAGCAATTCTCCTGCCTCAGCCTCCTGAGTAGCTGGGACTACAGGCTGCACCACCATGCCCAGCTAATTTTTGTATTTTTAGTAGAGACGGGGTTTCACCATGTTGACCAGGATGGTCTCGATCTCTTGACCTCGTGATCCACCAGGCTCAGCCTCCCAAAGTGCTGGGATTATAGGCGTGAGCCACTGCGCCCAGCTGAGTCTGTGCTCTTTTGATGACACAAGGTGGCTTCTCTCCTAGAAGCTTGTCCTGCAGCCCACCCCCACCAGGCTGTGGGCCTACCCACCTGGCCCTGGGGGCTGTGCTGTCTGGACTGCACCCGCTGCTTCACTGGCCGCACTGTGACTGCCCAGCCATGGCTGTGTCCTGGCTCCATGGCCCACTGCCCACTGGGCTGGCTGGACAGTGTCTGGGGATTTGTGGGTTGGGGGGGACTTGTTTTCCTCTTCACCCCCGGGCACGATTAACCCCGTCTTGTGATTCGCCACTGAAGAACCATTTGGTGGGTTGGGCCCTCGTTGGTGAGATGCTGTGAATTAGAGGCTGTTCCTTCCAACTTAATTGTAGAGGAGAGAAGCTGGTTCCAGGAAGGATGACCAGATTCTTCTCCCTGAGTCTTAAAAAGCGAAACAAGCTAGAACTCACTCTATTTCCTCAAATCTAAAATGCCATTGATTTGAAGCTGTCTCACTGTTTTATGTGCCACTGGGAAGGAAAAACCCAAAGGAAGGGCTGTGCTGGGAGACGCCCTCACAGGTGGGCCACTCATGGCTGGACTAAACCTGCCATAGCAGGGGACAACAGGGAGGCGCCATGTCCCCACGCCAGCGCTCAGGGAGGAGGAGAAAACCTCCTCACCAGACTGCACGCTGCCAGCTGGGGCTCTCGAAAGTATGAGTCTGAATTCACCCTCAGACTTGGGCTGGAAAGCTCAGACAGGGAAGCCAAAGGACCATGGCCGGGAGGCTGGCGGGGGCGGTCAGAGGCGCTTCCGGAGGACCCTGCTGTGTCCCGGCAGAGAGGGCAGCGCTGGGTGCCAGAT